AACACGTCCAACACTTGTTGGCTGCTTGTGCTCTTTAGGTCAGACGTGTGTCTGGAAGCTCCTCTGTTGTTTGAGACACTGGGGGAACCGTCTGATGGGGGAACTTGGCTCCACCTAACACCGGTCTCTGTTTAATGCTGGATGAAATAAAGAAAGTGGCGGTACTTTATTTACTTTGAGCAAGCGAACGTCGTGTTCACAAGATAATTAATCCACCAGATAATTCAGAGGCGGTCTGTTCGGAGAGTTTTACACCAGGAGCTGCGAGGCTTGTTTTCAAGCTTCAGACTGAACTGAAGCAGCAGCTGCTGACGTAATTACGCTCTTGCACGATGCTGCGTTCAGGACAAGCATGGAAAACTCACCACTCTTATGCCAATACAGTCGCAATGATGCATTTAGGTACCGAAATGGAATTGCATGAACATTCATGTGGTGGTTATGTAATACAGCGAATCGATAACAAAAAATCTGCATCGACAAATTTACATAATCGACGTCATCGATTATTTCAACTAATCGATGCAGCCCTAAACATAATGTGGGCTTGATCAATAGTTCTGTAGACTTGGTTATTGTTGGGTTTTCCTTTTTTTCTTTTTTCCAGTTTGCCTTCAAGTCTTTGTAACTAATGATGGCAGCAGCACAGTTGTCAAGTGTGTTTTTAAAATAACTTTAAAATTGTACAAGTTGACAGACCACTAGTAAAAATGTGCCTGAAAGGTCTGAAAAAAATTTTTTTGGAGAGTTGTCTGTCTTATCAGAACAAACCTGGTTCATCCTTTCAGTTTGTTTGAGTTCTTCATAGTTTGATCATTTGCAGATAAATGTTTTAATCAGCGGACTAAAAATGAGTGAAAAAAACAGTCAAAGTGCAAAGAAAAACTTAAAGACCTTCAGAAAGCCTGACGACCCACTGATTTAAGCTGATTAAGTCCACTTTAAAATATTTCAATAAAGTTTGACTCTTTAAAAACATATAACCAAATGACCTAAGACTTTTGCACATGACTACGTTATTTCTAATTCTGTAATTTACCAAGTAAATTTCTGTTTCAGCTGAGAGGAAGCCTCCATTGTTTAACATGAATGCAATGAGTGCCTTATACCACATAGCGCAGAATGAGAGCCCCACGCTGCAGTCCAGTGAATGGTGAGGTGCCTCGCACTTTGTTTTTGTTCGATTCAACCATCACGTTTTAAACAAAATTACAATCGTCATAACTGCTGGTTTGGATTCTACATTATTACTAAAAGTGTTGGTGCAGTCTGCTGTTTTCTCCAGGCTCTCTGTGACTGTGTCCGAGTTCTCACCCTCTGTCTTATCTTTGTTTTAGGACGGATTACTTTAGAAACTTTATCGATTCTTGCCTTCAGAAAAACCCCCAGGACAGACCCCATTCTGACGACATGTTGGGTGTAAGTACACACACGCACGCACACACACACACACACACACACACACACACACACTGTCCATTGCTGCAGAAACGGCAAGAAAGGGGTCAGTGTGTTAAGATGGGAGGCTGACAAACACTCAGCTGATAAATCTCTCTTTGATGTGTTCGCTCTGCTCCATAAGCTTTTATTTTGATCCATTAATCCTCGACTTCCTGATTCACACACACACACACACACACACACACACACACAGAATCAAATCATGTCAGACACACGTGGTTTGTCCTTGTAGAAAGAACACAGATGTACAGTAATTACTGTAGAGATGTGACTTCTGAACCTGTTGTTGAGCAGCTGTCACTTAGCCCACTGTCGTTAATGGAAATGTGTTTTCAGAACAGAAGCACTGAACTCTGAATAATCTTTAAATGCTGGTTTCCCAAAGAAGAACATGTCTTGACAAAAACTTCCATCATTTCTCTCTTTTATTAACTATCTCATTATATAAAYCTATAATAATTCTGTTGTGTAAATTGTAATAAATTAGACTCAGATACAGATGAAAATTTGCAGATAAATGTTTAAATTTGTATTATTGGTCAGCTAGACAAGTCAGTCTGATTTATGCAGACACTTTTAAAGATGGATTTATTCTAAAACCTGTCAGTAAAATCTGGATTTGTTTCACATTAATGTTAAAATGTATTTTCTGTTTTTTTCTAATTAAATTCTTTGTTTAATCGTTGTAGTTTGTTTCTTGTTTCCCATCACTTCCAGCATGCGTTTCTGCAGCGTGAGCGTCCAGACTCTGTGTTGATGGATCTTATTCAGAGGACTAAGGACGCGGTGCGAGAGCTGGACAACCTGCAGTACCGCAAGATGAAGAAGATCCTCCTGCAGGAGGCTCACAACGGGCCCACCACAGAAACCCAGGATGGAGATGAGGTGCGTGGATGTTTGTCAAAAATCAAAACAGTGGAGCTAAATTTTGATTTGTATTACCAATAAAATCCATGTGTCCCATTTTATTTAATGATTAAGAAACTGGTTTTTGTGCATGTCTGTCTGTCCTTCTGTGTATTCTGTGTCTTCTGTTTTCTCTCTCTGTGCTCTTTCCCGCTCTGCTCCAGGACCTGGAGTTAGGCRGCGGTCGAACGGGAACCGTGAACAGCGTCGGCAGTAATCAGTCCATCCCTAGCATGTCCATCAGTGCCAGCTCCCAGAGCAGCTCCGTCAACAGTCTGAATGAGGCGGCGCAGGACAGCCGCAGTGAGCTGGACCTGATGGAGGGAGACCACACCGTCATGTCCAACAGCTCGGTCATACACCTCAAACCGGTACAGAATTTATCAACAAGTCTTTGTCCTCAACCAGCAACTTGTAAATCCTTTTTTCTTAACGGTGATCACGTTTCCAATCAAGTTTCTCGTAACTACTTTTAACATCCAGCAGAGGGCGCACTAATCTTAATTTCATGTTACTTAAAAATATTCCACAGATGCTAAAAAGCTTGCTTAGATACCAAATTCTAAGACAAAGATGTGTTGAATTTGTTGCTGTCTGTCCAGGAGGAAGAGGAGAGCATCTGTGCTGAGCAGGCAGCCAGCAGTCAACCTACTGAGCCACAGCAAGCACCAGCTCAGGCCCCGAGAAAGCACTATCGCAACAGAGAGCACTTTGCTACCATACGCACAGCATCACTTGTGAGAGCACGCCTTCATCCGGCCTTATTCTTCCATTTATCACACGTAGCTCATGTAGTGTTAACTTTGGAACAGTAGAGACTCTTTCACCATTTTGGTAGTTTAATTAACGACTCTACAAATGCCACCGTTCAGTCTCTGTGTTACATTCTGCAGAGAGTCTGAGGCTGAGTAACGTTCCTGTGTGTTGCAGGTGACCCGTGAGATGCAGGAGCACGAGCAGGACTCAGAGCTGAGGGAGCAGATGTCAGGGTACAAACGCATGAGGCGGCAGCACCAGAAGCACCTGATGGCCCTGGAGAACAAGCTGAAAGGCGAGATGGACGAGCACCGGCTGCGGCTGGACAAAGAGCTGGAGAGTCTCAGGAGCAACTTCACCCAGGAGATGGAGAAACTGCTCAAAAAGCACCAGGCGTCCCTGGAGAAAGACGTACGCACAGATATTCACACATAGATCACTATTATAAGGCAACAAACGTAAACAAGCGTGGATATGTGATGTCTTTGTAGCTGATTGATGTTTCTGTGTGATTCAGCTGAAGACGTTTGCAAACGATGAGAAGAAGTTCCAGCAGCACATTCAGGTTCAGCAGAAGAAGGAGCTCAGCAGCTTCCTGGAGTCACAGAAACGGGAATATAAACTGCGCAAGGAGCAGCTGAAAGAGGTAACGCACACAGACATCAGCATTTTAAACTAAACAAATGAACAAATTGAACAAATGTATTTTAGATGTATAACTGAGGTAGAAATGTGTCGATCCATATTATCCTTCAGTAAAACAGCACCTTTCTTCTGCCATATCTTGCTCTCGTTTCAGCACATTTACTGCCAAATTCATAGGTCTCATTAATGATAACTTTTGTTTTATTAAAATGAACAAAATGTGCTTCAGGAACTGAGCGAGAACCAATCGACTCCCAAAAAAGAAAAGCAGGAGTGGCTGTCCAAACAGAAAGAAAACATCCAGCACTTCCAGGTCAGTGTTCCTGAGACTACAGATTCAGAGCGCGGCTGTGGATTTTATATTATAGATGCATGTGTTTTTATTTATTGTTTTTGAAGTTCTGGTTTTGATGGTGTGTGTGATTCCAGGCAGAGGAGGAGGCCAACCTGCTGAGGAGACAGAGGCAGTACCTGGAGCTGGAGTGTCGGCGCTTCAAACGCAGGATTCTGATCGCCAGACACAACGTGGAGCAGGATCTGGCTAGAGAGGTCTGTAGAGACACGAGAGGAGCAGACATCACCTGTGTGTGTGTGTGTGTGTGTGTGTGTGTGTGTGTGTGTGTGTGTGTGTGTGTG